ATTGAGGCAGTGTTCAGTGCTGGGGTGGATGTAGTTATTGCTCCACCACACCCCAATGCATCCATCCATGCAGCAACTAAGTTAGGAGAAACCCTCTGTGCAATTCCCCCCTTTCTCAGCTATGAAACCATCCCTATATGCCTGTAAGTTCCCCATTACTGCATCTCCTACAATCCATGAAGTTACAAGTACTGTAAGTGCAACTTAAGCCAGCTGGCTCTTGTGAAATCCTGTTTGTTTCTTGGACAGACTCTTAGTGCAGTTCTTCGTGGTACTTTAAAAAACCCTAATCCTTTGTCCCCACGCCAAAATGGAATTTGTTATCTGCCAAAAAATGACTTTCCCAACACTGCCCAGGCTATTATCTCCAAGCTGACCTGCAAAAATTAACTTCCAAGCATCTGGGAGGTTAAATTGCTCAGTGGGCTGTCTCCTTTTTATGCAAAAGCAATGCTCATTACATAAGAGTCGCTATTTAGTTTACATTCTTTTCCTCCTCAGGAAAAATCAGAGAATGAACAGCCTGCACAAACCACATTGTTACACCCTCATTAGCTTCATCATGTGCAGCCTTCCACTGAGCACTCCGTGGAAATTTTGGGAGAATATGCCCATCTTTGAAAGCAACCTGGAGAGCAAAAAGGGTTTGTTTGCTCTACATGATCCTTAATTAAGGGTGAAAAGAAGCAAGAGCTACAGGTGCCATTGTCGGCCTGAATGTTCTGCCCTGAAACCTTAGTGGGCTGTTCCTGTTGTTAATCTGCCCCAATCTAAAACTCAGATATTTCCTATCCATGCCCTACGGGGGAGCTGATCACTGGAGATAAAGCTGGACCCCACTGGCTTTGCCACAGGCCACAATGACTCTGTGTCTTAAACAGCAAAAGGTTGTCCCCTGTGCCAGGCAGCAGTGGGGATCGATGCATGCATGTTATCAGTGGATTTTAGTGTCTTCTGACAGCAGATGCAGGGAAAGGCTGTGTAATCCCAGACCCAGGAATGAAAACCAGGAGGACACTGAAATAGGCACAGACTCATCTTCCTTTCTCTTGCCTGCCCCACCCTCCACCCCCAGCCTGTCTCGTCTCCTCATCCTTTGTCCCCACCCTGTTCCCTTCCCTTTCCCTGCTGTCAGGCACAGGTTTCTTAGGCTCTTTCTAAATCTTTCCCTAGCTCCTCATGCCAAGCTCTGTCCTCTGGACTCCTTTCCCTTTGTATCTCCCTGTGGCTCCCAGCCATGTGCTCCATAGCTGGGTTTGCTTTCCCCACTGCTGCTTAATCCCTGCCTCCTTTCTTCAAGTTCAAAGCCCACGTTCTCATTTCCCAGCCAGTCCTCGTAACCCTATCGCTCAGTTTTTCCACAGACTCTTCCATTTTCCTTTCCCCCAGCACCTTCCCTCCTCACGGTAGTTCCCAGCTCCCCATTTCATTCCCTGGCAGGGCAACAGTCTCCAATCCCATCGGATTGCCCATCACCTGCCTATGATCCTCAGGCAACTGCAACCAATCCCAAACTCATACATTGTCTAGGAGTGCTTCACTGAAGGGAAAAAAACCCAAAAATCCATGTGGCAGACTTTATTGCCAGAAGTGCTAAGGGCTCTCATCCTGACTAATTGTGCGCCTTGAGTCATTTCACCAAAGCCAACAAGTACCTTGTGAAAACAACATAAAAACTCAGCAAGCAAATAGTGATAAAAGCCCTTCCCTCAGAGGTCAGCAAGTCAAATTCATTGCAATTAACAATGTTAATGAATTACTGAATTTTAGTGCATATATTTGTGCACACATATACATGCAGGGGTGGATACAACTGAGTCCTCAAAAGTCTGTTTTGCAATATTCCCTGGGCATCGTGTCCAAGACGAACGCTGGATTTTAGCTGTTATTTCCATTCATAATTGAATGGCAATTTTTCAGGCAGAATAGCTTTCATATTAAAATGACAGCAGTTTATGAATCAATTTACGGGCTTTGTCATCTAGTGATTCACTTCTTTCAAAACGACCGAGCTAACACTGATGGTTCCTTTCAGTGGGTTACACGCCACGTTTTACATCAGCTGCTCCTCGTGTGAAGTCTTCCTTGCCTCAATTCCTTCCCCATTGTTGCACTTGCCACCGTTGTGGCTGGAATACAAACAAACAGGGAGACTCACCTCGGAGGTATTGGCCTCCTCTCATGACATCAGTGTGTAGGCCGTGCACGGGGCAGGCAGGGGTTAGTCACTCACACACCATCTGTGTGGGCCCGGCGAAGGGAAGATGTCATCTGTCAGCTGGGGAAGCTCACACACAACAGCAACGACGCACGTGGAGCTGGTGGAACAGCCCAGAGCCAAGATCCTTGCTCGTTTTTACAGATGTTTTAAAAAAAAAAAAAATCTGCTGTGGGATAATGTGAAAATACAAGAAAGCGATGAAACATTCTTTTCAGGGTTTTACCTCCCACAGGAGTAAACCTGTTGTCTTCCTTGCTCTCTCTGAAGCCATGATGCTGTTCCTTGGCAGGGGACAGCGTGCCAAGGAAAAGGCTGGATGCATAGCTAGCAGCTATGGAAGTCTGTGTGCAAGGAAGAACAGGATGTGCACAGGGTAGATCCCCGGGCTACCTCACCTATTTGGCTGGAATTTGTAACAACATCACTTTTTACTCACACCCTTCAAATAGCACCTCTCCACTGACTTCCTTGGCAGCCATCTCAAGGGGTTATTTTTAGTGCAATGCAGATGACAATCAGATGAAGGTACCACAATATTTTTACCTACAGCACTTGTGTGTTTCCCAGGGAAATCATATCAGGGTCTTTACAGCCCTGCATCAGATTACTTCATCTCACGCTGGACAGAATTCCTTTTAATTTTCACTAGCAGGTCTCTGGTCACAATCCCTACCATCACAGACACTGTGAGACGATGCCAATGCCACACCAACTATTTCATTTTTATTAAGGATATTTGCAGAGATGACTTTCAAGGGCAATAAATTATTCCAACCTCCTTTTCACAGTGGTACCAAGTAGCCCAAAAGTCATTACTAGTTGCTGAACTATTGTTCTCCTTGCTTCCTTATAAACTGTTTGCTGCCTTTTTGGAATTTTTTTTTTCTTTTTTTATACTATTTAGCTATTTATTTTCAGATTAAGAACATGATCTCATGCACAAATTTATTATTGAGCGCAGTTATTTTTATGGAAACACTGGGGTTTTTCCTAGTGGCTGGTTTCACCACAGAGACACGGCTGAGAATAAATACTTTTCCCAGCTGTGGCTGTGGAATGGAGAGCAGAATGGAGCAGCAGAGAACTGTGACCTTCAGCAAACAAAAGAACAGGGAATTCTGAGGGAGGAGAATGCAATCTGTCTTCTCATCCCAACAGCCACCTGAAGGGGAAGGTGAACCTGCTGAGCACAGACCAAAGAGCCTTTCCTCATGTTTTTTCTTTAAGCACTTGAGCCAACCCCTTGCTGCATCTAAATTGTGTGCTCTGGTTTCTAGAAGTCCCCAGGCTCCATAAAGGCAAAGAGATGAGACAGTTTAAAGCATCACAGCAAAGCTCTCAGGAGCTCGGGACAGGAGAGCAGGAAGAAGTATTTATGAGAAGAAGTGGAAAATAAAATGTAAGGAACGAGTTACTGCCAATGAATGTTTTCTCCGGAGCCTGTAAGAAACATAAAATTAGGTTAATCGTCTAATAAAACCTGGGATTTTATTAAACAAGCAGTTCAACTGTTATTCTGAACCAACTTGATTCCATGTTTAATGCAGCCTACCTGGTGCCACACGACTGGCAGGCACACACAGTTAGTGAGTGTTTCAGAAATCAACCTATTTGGGAGCTCCATTTAAAACTTTTTTCAAGCTTAGGGGATGTTTACAATTAAATTCATGTCACTGGGGTTGTTGGCTCGATGACAAACCTTTTCTGTCACTCTTATACCCTTACCTTCAACACCTTGAGCATAACCTTCTAGAGAAGGTTATTACATATGAATATTAATACAAAATTAATATTTTAGGGTACCTCTATTTTGCCTACCCTTTTAAGCAGTTGATTCCCAGACATCTCCCATGCTCTCCAAGTTAAGCACCAATAAAACATCTCAGCACTCTAAAACTGGAGTCAATTCAGGCCTCGATCCAAATCCCTTAAAAATCCATTGGACAATTTTAACAGATGATGGTAGCCATTGTTTTAATTTAAGACATTTGAGTTCCCAGCCAGCTCTCACTAGAAATCCTGGCTCCATGTATCACATATGTGAAACTGCCTGGGTCTAGGACATCCAGTAAGGACAACTGAGTAGAGCTGTGACAGAAATAATGAAGTGATTTGTGTAGAAAGACAAAAAAAAAAAAAAAAAGGCATAATTTGTAGCTTTATCCAGCTTTTTTTTTTTTTTTTTTAATGCAACTGTAAATACTTAGCAGATGGAAGTAATTTTTCTGAAAAGAGGAAGGAAAAGAGGCCCCTGAAATTTTATGAAGGGGTAAACACATGGTTTTTGGCTGCCACATGCCCGGGACACACTACCAAATTCCTAGTGGTCTAGGAAAAAAGCTGCAGCATGTGTGTTGCTATCTTGCATGTTAGGAGGCAACAGAGGTGAATAGTTTTGGTTGCTGGAAGCAGCAAAGCTACCTTTGTTCTTCCATTCACACGCAAAATAGATCAGCACTGAGTAGTCTCTAATATTTTTATTTCGGTTTCTTTCTGTCAGCTTTGTGTACTGCCTTTAAAGAAAAGATTAGCCTATATTATAACGCTTGGATCACTACCACATGGGGATAATTGAAAGCACAATTCCATTACCTCTCAGATACGAGGCTTTTTTCCAGGATGGTTACATGCAAGAGAGGCAAACCACGCTGTAAGGAATGGGATGAAAAGACTGGAACAAACTGTATGCAATTATCTTTGGAGACTAGCTGGAATTGGCCAAAATTCAGATGTGGTACAAAGGAGCGTAAAGGAAGGAGTTGCATTTGCTTACCTCGTGTCTGAATTTGATCTGTTGCTTTCAGCATAAAAAAAAAAAAAAGCAGTGGTACTGGGAGCAATTTAGCTGCTCTGTTGCTTTTAGTTGAACTGTCATTTACTTCAACCTGCAAAAGATTGAGAGCAGAACGTTTAAGATATTCCCCAATTTTAAAAACCAGTATCTTCAATACATTACAAAGCAGAGGCAGGGCATAGAGGTCTGATCCCAACCACTTCTGAAAGAAAACCCAAATATCACTGAGATCTTCGCTGTGAAACTTGAGTGGAATGGGGATTAAGGTTCTAGGCCACAAGAGGAAAATCACATGTAATAAAACAACACTGCACTTTTCCAAACTAGTATAAGAAAAATTTACTGGAGTGTGCTTCCAGTGCTCTAAGACAGGCCAACCAAAACTTGCTGGATAAAAATCCTTACAAATGTGGAGGAATCTGCAGCAGCATTCAGAACGAGCCCAGCTCAGAGGAGGGTTCCACACAGCAAACAAGTGACATTCCTGTTGTTGAAATGCACGAGATGGGCTTTCTTCCTCTGGAAGATGTTTTATGACTTTCAAATCAATCTATTCTCACTAGAACTGACCCCACCTTCACTGGCCATAAAACATAATCTCACAATGTTGCTTTCTAAGGGAAATAATTTGTCAGAAAGGAGAAAGAATAACTACCTGTAGACACAGTAATTATTGCCAGCCCTTTCCCAGGATGCAGCTGCCACTCGCTTGGCACTAGAACCACTCGATAGCTCAGTGTAAAGATACAGCCCTAATAGCTCATTTTTATCTCCCTTTTCTCCAATATCGCCCTTGTTAACCTTCAATTCCCAGCTGTTAGAGAAGGAAGAGATTTTTGCCTCCTGGGACTGCAGGCACAGCCCACGGAAAGCAGAAGCAAACAAAAGTCTCCTGATACACCCAATTCCCTCCCCAAGACAGACAGACAGACAGACATCATGTTTTCAGATGAGACACAACCCCGTCACTCCACAAAACAAAAAATACTTTTTTTTTTTTTCTTTTTTCAAGTGCATGACACAATGGAGGAAGGAGGTTAGTGCTGAGGGTAAATTCCAAACAGCTCGGCGTGTTTTCCTAGATTGTCTCTTACGTAACCCCCAAAATCCAGTCTCCCACCAGCTGGGAGCAGAGGGGAGTGGGTCGGGAGCTCACTGACAACACCAGGCACATGTGCACACACACACACACACACACAGCCACCACACACACGAGGCCACAGGAATTAGCTAGTCCACTGCAAATGTCAGCCAATTTATGTAATATCCTTTTACTCAGCATTTCTTATTCACTGGAGAGAGGAAAAAAAAAATCTCAATAATTTTGTTAACGGACTCTGAAGAACTGGAAGTGGGGGAAGTCAGTCGAATTCATAGTCTCTCTCTCTCTCTCTCTCTCTCTCCAGTCACTGCTGTTGTTGGCTGCTCCCACAGTCTCTATGTTACTTCAATTAAATAACCAGCGAACAAGCAGGTATTTATTTCCTAACAGCCACCAATGGAATTGGTGTTAACAAGTTCTAATTGTTATTTACAGCAGCTGTCGTTTTAAGTTGACTAAGCACAACAGCCCTGGGCTGCCGCTGCTCGTGCTGTCCCACGAGGCACACAGAACTCTTATTTCAGATGGTAGAGAGCCAGAAAATACAGCCCAGCTGACAGCAGGGCTAGGGCTTGCTGATTCCACACACCTTGGGACACAAAGGAGTTGCTGGGAAGCGGGAGGGAAGTATGGACGTGGACAGACTGGATATCAAGAACAGCAATTATTCCCCCAGCCAACTTTTTCTAGCAAAGAAATGCACTGGTGGTATCTTTCTACCACCTTGAAACAGGACCAAGAATCTCACCTGTGCACTGCTTGGGAGTTGCACAGTTAGAAAATGGTGAAATATGACCTTTGTTGCTACACTGCATTACCTTTCTACTATTACTTCTAAATTACTTCCATTTCAGAGCTCTAATTTCCTGTTCGTTCTTGGAGAGGGAGCAGTAATAAGCTGTTATTTTCTAAAAAAGAGCAAGAAAGCAGATTTTCTATTCATAACAAACGAAATTTAAGGTAATTGGCTTACAACGAGAAATGAGAGCTGCTATAACCAGAGTAAAGCTCACAATGCACATCAGGCAGAATGCTGAAATTAAATCATGTCCTTTCACAGGTATTGAAAAAAATCTAAAGCACAATTCAGGGTTAAAGGGCCAAAACCAAGTATAGAAATTCACAACGACATACACAATGGGAAAAACAAAACCTGGGCTCAGCTGGAATTCTTACATGTATTACAGTGCTTGTGTTTACCATGGACATCTTTATTGGCTTTCACTGTCCACAGAAAACTCACCTGATGAGCCTTCCCTGAAAAGCCACTCGTTTATGCTCCTCCTCAAAGCACAAAATTCAGTTTTTCCTATTCAAAATGTCCTAGTAACTGATTACTTATTGAAAATTATAACATATAAGGGAGAGGATTTTTCTTTTGTTTTAAATTATGAGGAGCTTTGTGAGAAACTGTGTCATGTTTGATGCACTATTTTGTACCTAACTGGTCAAACTGTTTTCTTGCAGCTACTTTGAACCTCCACGAGGAACTAATTTGTCTATTCAGCCTCATGATTAATCTGACCTTCGTGAAGAAATTTTCTTCTGAAGGCTTTTGTTTTATCATAGCCATCTTCAATTCTTAGGAATACTTCTGGTTTTGATGGAGAAATATCGATTTCACATATGGATCTAAGCACTAAAGCTGAGGGTAACATTTTTCTGGGAAAGGGCACGTGGAGAAAAAAAATAATCTGGTTTACATGAAAAAATTGTTCAGCAATAACCTTAAACATTGCGTCATTGTCCATTTCATTTATTTACAGGGTTCTTTCTCTGGCTTTTCTTTTCAAGTAACTAAAGTTTCCATTTGCCACTCTTGCTCCTCTTGGAAATACAGCAGTAAATGTTAACATAAGTTTTTCTTACAAATACTTAATGACTGTGCTGAAAGCGTTTTTTACCTCCAGCAGGTCCCAAGAGCCATCAGATCCAGTCTGGCTTAAGGGTTCTGTCTGTCATTAAAAGCAAACTGCTCCTTTAGACAAAAGGAAGAAATGAGGAAGTATTAGAGACTTGTAAGTGTAAAAAGATTATGTCTCACCATATCTTTGCCAATGAGTGTTTATTTAAATTAATATGAACTGAATATACCAGTTTCGAGAACAAAGAAATAAGCAGAGGTCTGATGGATTTTTATTTTCATCCCGAATTTGTTTTAGAGATGTTTAATTTGTAATTATATCATGCTGGCTGAATGCTTAGTTGTGTTATGGCTCTCTTCCCAGAGATCCTCGTGGATGCAGCTTTTAACAATTCCTGTGTGTTTCACAGATGGTCTGTGTTTGCTTTTTGCTTTATTTATTATTTTTAAAAATAAAACCCAGGCTAATTGCAAGATTTAAAAATGAAAACAAAAAGCAGTAATGACAGTGCAACAGTTTTAGGCTTCAGGTGGTTACTTGTCTCCAAAATTTCTTGTGGAACTAAATTGCTGCAACATATATATAATATCCATCTCTAATTATAGTTTGAAGTATCAGCAATATGTAATTAAAGCCTTCAGAATGATGTTTGCATTTTCAGTGACATTTCTTTTACAGGACTGGCATGTCCTGATTGATTGCAGAAAAATCACAAGTAGCCCTAGTTCTTCTCAGAAGCAAACACTGGGCTCTTGATCCCAAATATTTTGTATTTGAGGATGTTGTGGAGTTTGGCTTTTAGTCCCTCACTTTCCTGCCAATGTCAAATGTGATTCAAATCTGAGTTAATTTTCTCATCTGTTGCGCTCATTCTCGCAGGACTTTGTTCGAAGCAGAATACAGAGGGGACTGGAAGAAAATAAGCTGGAAGAATTCCTGCACCTGGCACATCCAAAAGGATTTGAGAGGCCAAATCAGATGACAAGGCCATCATCTCGATATTAATCCCTTCCTTCCATGCACATTTTGCAGGCCCAGGAAGAATTCCCTCTTGCCTAGACTTTTCATGCAAAAAGCTACTCGTGTAGAGACAACCTCTGCTGCAAAGGAGATGCTGTTTCACTGTCCTGTCGTTAATGAACAGGAAATTATCACCTAATAAAAGATGGTGACACAGTAAAGCAAAACCCAGACTAAATCCTAGACCACATAATGACTCCTTCCCAGCAAGTTCAATTTCGGTGGAATTTTTGCTATTGTTCTCAACAGACCACAAAGAGAAAACTCGGGCTGTGATCAGCAAGTGGTTTTAAGGCAAATAGAAAGGAGTAAATAAATGCCACAAAGAATCTTTCTTAGGCTGCTGGCAACAGCAGAGCTACAAAATTAGCCTCTGCTTGGGCTAGTCCAACAGATGGGCGGCACCCAGGTGGAACAAATGACACACCAAACAACAGACAGTCTCTCACTCCATCATATTTGACCCCAAAGTAATGACAAAGCTCAGGTTTGAGGATGAAATTACTGTCCTCTGCCATGCACATTGTTCTAAGTCAGCCCACGTACATTTAGAGACATAGGTACAGCACAGATGGTGTGATAAAAGGGTTTTATCTTCATTACTTTAACCCAAGGGCATTACAGAGAGGTAAGTCTGTAGCTGAGCTTCCTGCACAAAATAAACCCTTTCTGACCTCTCTGTAAAGCAGATATTTTGTTGCAAAAAAAAAAAGAGGAGGGAAGATTAGAATTAGTTCCATTTGAAAACAAAACACAAGGGAGGAATAAAGTGCAGTGCAAGAAAAGAGAGAGAGGCTGAAGGTAAAGATACCTCAGCAGATCCTACCTTGCTTCTGTCTTTACAAAGAGGCATCGGCAGAGCAATGCACCTAGGCTTCAAAAATGAATTTACAAGTGCTGCATGCAAGGGGGAGGGCAGCCCCATGGGTACTGTGGGTCCCACAGGGTCAGGGACAGACACAGAGCCTGACAGTTGATTTATCTGATGATTATCAGTGGCACGGTGCGGAGTAGTTTGCAGAATGAGGGCCCTTACTGGGCCAGATCCTGCAAGGCAGGGACATTTTAAACGAGGCTGGATCCCTTCAGTTAGAAACAGATTTAAACCCAGTGGAATTCCCGAGATGTGGAGCCAGGTAACCCTCAAGAGCTGGTTTTAAAGCTTGGATACTTCAAAAACGACCGTTTCCCACCCAATATCAAAAGAGGGAAACAAGCAAGACCAAAATAATGTCCCACAGATTTTATTTTATGTATGAATCAACCAGTCTAAAGGAAATACTACCTTCTTTGAGTAGGAGCATGGAAGAGTTCAAGGATACAGTATGTATTTTTAAAGACAAACCTAATACACATGTTTGGAAAGGAAAAGGACAAGACTTCAGCTCCTGGCAGTATTTGCAGACATCCACAGACATTTTGAATAGAGGTATTCTTCTGGGGGCTTTCACCTTGTCTGAAGGTTTTGTACTTGTTCCAGGTCTTGAACTGTTTATTACATTTTAGAAAGTCAAGTTATTCTTTCCTACTGCACTGCAAACGAGAACATTACTCTTGCTAATTTTGGGGACTTGAGAGCAAACAGAGCAGAGGAAAGGCCAGACACAGATGAAAGCACAATTCTAAAACAGCAATTTAAGTTTCTACTTTAAAAAAAAAAAAAAAAAAAGCAAAACCAAAACAACCCCAACAAAACCAAACAGAACAAGCAAGGATTTTCCTCAAACCTGCAGCAGCAAAGTCTGTTCCTTTTTTGCTTGCAATATTGAAACCACTGCTGTCAAATATGCCTGAGCCAGCACTGCATCACAGCAGTGACACAGGAAACATGACAAGGGGCAACTTCCAATGCCCAAGACAAATAGACAGAGATCCAACACTGGAGATTAATATTAAAGCCCCAAATAAAGAGATCCCATGTAAAGTAAACGACTGCAGATTGTGGGGAATTCTTTCAGAGAGATGTTAAAAAGAGTTCGTGAAACTCAAACCCCCCACACATATCCTGAGGTCTTGTTTCACTTCCAAGGTATTTAGAAGGATGACATTCATTCCATCCTGCCAGCTTGTACGTGGAGGAAGTGTTCTGCTCTACTGAGTTTGCACTGTATGTTCTATGATTACTCATAGCTCTGCCTGGCACGTTATAACTACTGTGGTTTAATCTTCAGCCTATATTCCAAAAAAGAGCTACTGTGTTCATGGTCATAGTTTACTATTACTCTCCAAGAACTACCCTGTTCTAGATGTTACCCTTACGGAGTCCAGACTTGTGGGAATTCTGTACCAAGCAATGCAGAAGGATTTTTGACAAATTCCAACAGCTTTGTCAGGTTGGAAAATGAAAGAAATGTCTTTGAAGCTGAAGAAGTCAAATCTTAAATGACATCAAACATTCACTCATTCATTGCTATAATAATTCTGACTCCTGATTGTTATCCGAGGCTTCATTTTGTCACACACTACGTGAACTGAGTAAAGAGTTTTTTCTCTACAGAGTCTGCAGTTTTAAAGGTTAGAAACAGACTGACAGACCTGGACATGACTGTTTCCAAAGCTGATAATTTTCCTTAAGTGCCATCCTTTAACTTAGAGATGTTGTGCTCTTAATCCTCATCAAATTCTTCAGTGTACAGCATGGTTTAACCTACTGCATCTCCGAAGGAATAATTTTCCATGTTATCATTAACCAACTGTTATTGCTATTTGAGCTTAATAGAGGTTCATCTGAGAAAGAGTGGCTTTTAATGAAGGTTGCACTCCTCATCAACACCAGCAGTCCTCAATTTTACATTTCTTACCACTAAGAAACGATTAGAAACTCACCCTTTAGCAAGATTCAGAAGAGGGAGAAAGGACAATCATGGTTTTGCAATAACCTTTTTCTTAGGGACCAACTCCCCAAAGCCACTGAAACTCCACTGATGTTTTTAATGAAAAAAAGGGATTGGTTCCTGTATTAATTCATGACCAAAGTATGATTTCCCCTTCCCCTCTGGTCTCCTGAGAACAACATATCAGCAAAATAACATCTCGTCGCACATGCGCAGCAGCAGAAGCATCTGTGAATTCTCACTGAAGAACTGAATTTGTGGTAGTGCCTCATAGCAACACATAAACCAGAACAAAAACAGCTTTTAAAAGAAAATCCAATTCATAACAAACCCTACTCCAGCTTGTTATCTGAGATGGACACGAGCGTTCGAGGGAGGGCAGGGAATGGAACATCCTGATTTGTACAATGGCTCCTCTCATCGTGGCCGAGGGGTAAATTCCAAGTGTCACATCCTAGGGCAGTCTACAGGTCCTGTTTTACAGGTGAGCAAACACAGCTAATTCAAACAGCACCTCCTGGCACAGGCAAGCCACACACTTTTAAATTAGCTCCTGTATTTTTGGAAGACCTTTCTACAGCAGTTTAATAAGCCTGTTTAATAATGAGACTCAAACAAACAAGAGACGCTGGATCTCCTCCAGCTTCTCCTGGCCTTGAAAAGCCTCCCTTCTCCCACAGTTTCACTGGTGTTATGAATGGTTGTGAGAGCAATCTGGGAGGCTGGAAGTCTTCCTCAAGTTCTGCTGGAAAACAGTCCTGAGCACCCACCACTGGAGCTGAGATCAGAGAGTCATTCCCATATTACCCACGGTAACCCACCCCACGTAAAGCACTTACTGATCTCACAATTACATCTGGCAACTCTGCTGAGCCTCTCTACAGCACTGCTCTTGTGTTTGGGATGTCAGACAGAATAACTGCATAGCCAGGGGCACACATAAAAACCATTTTTCAAGTTAACTGCTTGGCACTTCAGATAAACAAAGAGAGATTTGGGCTTCCTTTCCAGTAAAGCTCTCTTATTGCCAATTATATCAGAGTTTCCTGGCCTCTGGCAGCACTCAGCTAAACAGCTCCAGAAAGCAAGTACCCCTGAACCAGGATTTGGATGACACGGTTGGGATGGTTATTTAAACAGTGTTTACATAAACTGAGAGATGAAGGGAGTGAGAAGTGAAGTTCCAAACACCGACTGCCCCTTTACCCTGAGCAAGGCATACTCAAGGAACTGGAATAATGTCACAT